TTGGCCATGTCATCAAGTTTTGCCAAATGGATTTCACACGTAATTTAAGTAAAGAAAAAAAAAATTTTTTCCGTTAGTTAACATGCCATGTAAGCAAAAATTTAACGGAGGGATAAAAAAGGGGCCGGATTTGTAAACAGTAAGGATCAAAAAGGGAATTTTTTCGGTATAGGGACTAAAAAGGGGCTTTTTCCTATAGTAAAGGGACCAAAAAGGGTATTTAACCAATTTGGTTTTACTTCTAGTCCTCATGATACTACGTTGTTCATACGCAAGACTAATCATGGTATGGTTCTACTACTTCTTTATGTAGATGATATGATCATTATTGAGGATGATATTTCAAGTATTCATGATCTTAGGCAATTTCTCAGTCATAAGTTTGAGATGAAAGATCTTGGTGTTTTGAGTTATTTCTTGGGATTTGAGGTCACTTCTTCTGATGATGGTTATCTTCTCTCTCAAACAAAATATGCCTCTGATCTTATATCTAAAGCTAGACTCGCTGACAGTAAGACTGCATCTACTCTTCTTGAGCCAAATGTTTGACTTACATCTATGGATGGTTCTCCATTACTTGATCCTATTTGCTACAGACAATTGGTTGAAAGTTTGATTTATCTCACTACAACGCGACTAGACATAGCTTATGCAGTTTATGTTATTAGCCAGTTTATGGCTACACCTCACTTCACTCACTATGCAATAGTACTTCGCATTATTCGCTATATTAAAGGTACTGTTTTTCATGGACTTCACTTTTCTGCTCATTTATCTCTTGAACTTCATGCTTACTCTAATGCTAATTGGGATGGAGACTCTGATGATCGTAAATCACCCACTGGCTATTGTCTTTTTCTTGGCGATTCATTAATCTCTTAGCGTAGCAAGAAGCAGACAATTCCATCACGTTCTAGCACAAAGGCTGAATATCAAGCACTTGGAGACACCACATCAGAGTTACTTAACTTATGTTGGTTACTAGAAGATATGGGTGTTCCTCAACCGCCTACTACTAATCTTTATTGTGACAATCTGAGTGCCATGCAGATTACTCCTAATGATGTCTTCCATGAATGCACTAAACACATTAAGGTCGATTGTCACTTTATTCGCTATCATATTGCACAAGGAACTATTCATTTGGTTTTCATTAGCTTCGCTTATCAACCAGTAGACCTTTTCACCAAGGCTCATTTTCCTAGATGCTTTCATACTCTTCTTTCCAAACTCAAGTTGGTTTCATTGCAACCACCTTGAGTTTGAGGGGGGATGTTAGATGTGAACACATTTATTGTAAATATTTTATACATTAAAATATTCTTTTTATATCTTTATACTTTAGAATATTCTCTTTGTAAATACCTACATATATAGGTCATTGTACATACAGTATTATTCAAGAAAATAATAAACTTTTCTTCAGATATTTCTCCTTCTTTTCAATTTCTAACACTGAATAACTAAATATCAACTTGATTTTTTTTTATTTGCTAAATATTAACTTGATTAAGCTATTATTAGTTCAGCTAGCTACAATTTTATTATTAATTAATCAACGTGACATGTACTTATTTTCTTTGGAACAAAGGACCGTTTCGTTTTAACTAATCTAGCATGCAAAATTGAGATGATTAATTAAGACAAATTTATATGAGAGGGGGAAAAATGATTGATTAAAATACATGAGTTGTAGCATACTGGAGTTAGTAATTAAGAGGGTTTGATTTGTTGAGCAAGGTTTATATATATTTTTTAGGAGACTAATAACAAGATAATTTTTTATAAATTTTTATAATTTTTTAATCTCATTCAGATGCCTCTTCTTTAGCTAAAACAAAAAAAAAAAAGTTTTAAGGTATATGTAAATTTATTTGAAGACTTTTACTTATTAAATAAAATTAAAATAAAATCTTTATCCAGTATTCTTATTTCTCATTGCTAATTATTACATTTTACATGTTTTAAAAATTAAAACATAAAAAATCTCCACACATTTTCAACCCCAAATATTAACAAAGCATTTACAACTTTTTAGGGCATTTTTAGGGCATGTTTGGCTGAGTTTACAAGTAAATTTGCTAATAAATCATCCTTTTTCTCAAAAAATTTCAAGTTTGTTAAAGGAGATATTTTGATATAATTTTTAAAGTGACTTATAAGTAAGTTTTAGAAAAAGTTGTGCATTTTGAGAAAGTTAATAGCACAAGTTTCCTAAATCTTACTTATTAGTACTTTAAAAGATATATTCAGATCTTCCCATAAACAAATTTGAATTTTTGTAAAAAGAGCAAAGGACTTTCACGCAAATTTGCTTAAAAAGCTCTAGCCACTCATGCCCTTATTCTGTTGCCTTTTAACGCCTTCTTACTACACATTGCTAGGACTAGGAGCAATTGAAAACAGAGGTGCAGCAGCAGGAACCATAACAGGAGGAAATGCAAACGGAGCACCTCCGCCGCCGCTGCCGCCGCCGCCGCCGCCGCATTGGACCAGCGAGCACTCCACCGGATGCTTGTACACAGCCTGGCATTTATTCTCACTCCTCTGCCGCTTTTTCTCTGGAAGACAATTCCAACTATCATCAAACACTATACCCTTGGACGATAGATTCTGGCATACCCACCCTTCTTCACAGAAAAAATTGAAAGAAATCGTGAAATTTTCCAGATTTGGCAGCGCACAAATTCCGTCCGGTACGCCTCCGGTCAGCTTGTTGTGTGCTAAATTCAGCTGCTGCAGATGATATAATCCCGCCATGCTGTAAGGAACAGGCCCGACCAAATTGTTATAACTAACGTCGAAGACTTTGAGTTTGTAAAGGTGGCCAATTTCCGGTGGGAGGCAGCCCGAGAGGCTGGTGTTGATAAAGAGCAATTCTTCTAAGGAATCTGCTAAATTGGCTATACTGGGTGGCAGGCAGCCGCGGAACCTATTGTTGGCGAAAACGATAACGGAGGGTGAAATGTTGGCTTTAAATGCAGTGGGAAGTGAACCGGTGAAATTGTTGTTGTTGACAATTATGGCGTCGAGGCCTTGGTTGAAAAGTTGAGGTGGCACAGGCCCTTCGAATTCGTTGAAGCGGAGGTCGAGGTAATGGAGGGAGGGGAGAGAGAGGATAACGGAAGGAAAAGGGCCGACGAAGCGGTTGTTGCTGAGATCGAGCTCGAAGAGAAGGGTGAGGTTGGAGAGGGTGTTTGGGAGGACACCACAGAAGCGGTTGGAATTGAGGTGGATGAGAGCAAGATCGGAGAGCAGCCCCAGTTCGTTGGGGAGGAAGCCGGCCAGGTTGGCGTGGTTGAAATCAACACCGGCGACAACAGTGAGGGTCTCATCATAAGGAGCAGGGGCGCAGTATACGCCTGTGTAGTTGCACACATGAGGGCCAACCCAGTTGGAGATGAAGTTGTTCGGGTCGGAGAAGATTACCCTTTTCCAGGCTTGGAAAGCAATGTAAGCCTGTTGGAGTTTTGGGTTGGTAGGAGGAGCCTGGTTGTGGCCATGGTGGCTGCCGCTGTGCTGGTGGTGGTGGTGGCGGGAGACAGAGTAGGAGCCGTGTTTGGCTGCCAGAAAATTGTTAGATATGGAAGAGAACAAGATTAGTAATAGGGTGAATGAATAAAACTGAGTTGAAGCCATTTTTTTTTGGTGTGGGGAAGTTTACTTAGATTGGTATGGTTTATGTAGGGAGATTGTAAAGGTCTATCCTTTTCACGAAATTTTCGAGTTCTTAATGCTTAATGATGTTTGTTCATGTCATAATAAAAACAGAGTTTGAAACATTTTAAGTAATAAACACAGCATTAAGAATTTTGTAATGATAATTTGTAGGTACGTCTGTGCCTTAATCAAGTACTTTGAATTCGATTAGTTCTTGAAAGCTGTGGCGAGCAATTGCATTGTAGAATGGAAGAGTGAGAGGGAAGACCGAAGAGGATGCGCACGATAAGGACTTACCTCCTTACATGTAGTTTTCGGAGTTTGTTTTAAGTGGAGCAGGAGAAGGAAAGCTTTAGGCCGACCTGAGAAAAACATGGTTTCCTTGGAACTCAAGGGATAGATTTATTTTGCGTCAATGAAGTCCTCATAGTTTTGAAAAGGGTGAAAACTACGTTGTCTTAAACTGCGAACACATGTAACAATTAAATTCTAAGGCATTAATATGGAGAGCAATGTAAGCCTGTAGGAGTTCTGGTTTAGGAGGGGCGGCTGCATGGCTTTGGCTGTGGCGGATGTCATGGTTATGGTGGTGGAAGGCGGCAAAGGAGCCATGTTTCGTTGGCTGAATATTGTTAGATATGGAAGAGAACAGAAATAGCAAGGAAAAGAAGTGAATGAAGAAAACGGAGTTTTAAGTCATTTTTGTGTTGTGGGGGAAGTAATCTCAGATTGGTTTGGTTTATGTAACGAGGCAGTACCACGTCCACCTGCCACTGTGGGATGGTGTGCCGTGTTCAGTGTTTGACTCTGCCTACTACGAAAAAAACAAGTCAACTGTTTTATTATTAATTAATATGGAATTCTTCCTTCACTGCATCACATGGCCTTTGCGGAGTTCTAAACTGATTATCCTTAAAATGGGTACTTAGAACTGTATTAGTTCTTGAATGTTGTGGGCAATGACATTGTTGAAATGTTCAGGGGGAGGGGGAGGGAAAACACCAAAAATGATGTGCACGATAAGAACTTACGTCGTTCCATTTGCATATAGCTCCAAGAGCTTGTTTTGAGGAATGGGGGAGAAGGAAAGCTTTCGGTCGCCTTAGAAAAACAGAGTTCCCTTGGGTCATGTTTAATTGGATTGAGTAATTATTCTTTGGCCAAACCATAAATGCAAGGGGATGACCTATTCAGAATGACTAAATATTGGTATAACAATATGCCAAGCCAAAGAAACGAACATCAACAACATAAAATGCTGTCACAGTCGAAAAAGAAAAGTCAATCAACTCCATTAGTGTAAATCAGAACTCAAACACAACAGAAATTACATACTATAAATCAAGCATAAAAATTTGCAAGCACAGTGTGATTCTCAATTAAAAGGGTGAAAACTGAATTGGTCTTAAACAAGGAACACACGTTACCTTCAAATTCAAAGTACTACTTTTTTTCGTCATCAAACTTTCCACATCAAATTCCTAACTACTGGGTAGGAATATGAAAGCTATTGTCCATCTCAATTTATTGCAACCAAAGATACCAACTCACATGACGGTATTAGCCGCTAACTCACTTGACACTGTGACGGTATTAGCCGCCTCCGCCTGATCCATATTTCTTGCCAAAGAGAATGAGCTGCAACTTGTCATAACCAGCAAGGACACCAGCACCTGCAACAGCACGCAGGATGTTTGCTCCAGCACCCTTGAAGAGTGATTTAGTACCTTCATTCTTAACAATCTGTGAAAAAGCATCCATTGAACTCTTGTACTTCACTGCTTCCCCAGAGGTCATCATCATTCTTCTACGAACTGTGTCAATGGGGTAAGAAGCAAGTCCAGCTCCAATTGTGATAGCCCATCCCAGCAAGAAACTAGCCAAGAAACTATCCTATAAACACCCAACATGCAAATATTGAGCATCAAAGATCATGAGCACAGACACAGGCAAAAATAACCAAGTTCCCTAGTTACTTAAGAAGATAAAAATTGCAGCTTCCACGTACCTGCAATCCACCAACCAAAACCACGGGTTTCAGAGAATCATACATTCCAAAGTAAAGCCCACGGTATACAATAATTCCAACACATGAGATATTAAATCCACGATAGAGCCCAGCATAGCCATCAGATTGGATGGTCTTCTTGTAAACATCAATCAAACCATTAAACTGTCTTTGACCACCCTTTTTAGCAGCCTTGGCATCATTAGCCAAACGTGTACGAGCATAATCCAAGGAATAAACAAAAAGGAGAGATGAAGCACCAGCAGCACCACCTGATGCCAAATTCCCAGCAAACCACTTCCAGTAGCCATCTTTGTCCTTCTTGAAGTTGAACATCCTCTTGAAATAATCCTTGAAAGCAAAGTTTAAAGCCTGCAATGCACCAGAACAATTGAAAAAATTAAGCAGCAAGAATCAGAAAGCCATAGGACATGGGGCAAACTCTAATGGAACTCCTTTTAAGAAATCATAAACTCATACACTAAAATGAGTACCACATCACACAAGCAACTAATTGAACATCTTCATTTTTCTCATCTTGGCAATCTTGATTCAAGGGAAGACCACTCTTGTAGCAAATAGAAAACTGTTAGATTACAGTGTACCTGTGTTGGGAAGTATCTGATAACATTTGCTGTGTTCCCTCTCCATAGAGAAATGACACCTTCATCCTTGATGGTTCTGGCAAAGCAGTCACTGATTCCTTTGTATGGTTCAGATAACCGACCAGCTTTGATCATTTCATCCTGATTCTGGATAAGCAATTTAACCCTCTCAATTGGAGCAGCTGCTGTCTTGGAAACAGCTGCAGAAACTCCACCCATGAGGAAATCCACCAAAAAGGATTTAGCACCTTTCTCTGCTGGAGCTTGAACAAGTACGGGAGAAATAGGGGAAACATGTCCCACTACAGTGCCTTGCTGTGATGGAAACAAAGCAGTCTGCAAGCCCCCATTGACATATGTACCACTCACAGAATAATTCCGAGCATGTAAGTTAGGTGAAAGCCTAGAAACAAAGTTGGACTGTCCATGTATCTTCTGAAACACTGATGGATGCTGTGATCCATCTGCCATGTTTACAACTGAAGACGGTGACCTGCAGAGTTTGAAAATTTTCTAAAAGATTAGTGAGCATGCGTTTTACAAAAAACCTTCTCATTAAATTTAAAACCAATTTCTAAAACTAAAACAGGTTTTTAGGCAGCCCATTCCCACCAAAACATGATGTAAATCTATTCAAGTATAATGTCAAAAAATTGTCAACTATAACAGGATGTGCCTTAGAGATTCCACTGCAACACATAATCAATCACTTAGGGAGATGAAACTTAATTCCCTAGAAAAAACCCATCACGAGTTTATAGCACGCTAATGCAGAACAATGGAATTCCAGTAAACAACATAAAAGAATCTACATATTTACCACCAGGCAGATTACTAAGAAATAACAGACTTAGCAGAAAGAATTAAACTGAAATCTATAATTCAATACAATTACTAAACTCACAATCAGGTCATTTTTATTTCAAACTAAGCCAACACACAAGAAAACCCAGCATTGATAAAAAACAAATTCGAATCAAACTAAAAATCCTGAATCCACTATGACCTTTATCTTCTTCCCGCTAAAATTATGAATCTACAAAGTGAGTTAGAACTAATGTGAACAGTCAACATAAAGATCCCTCCTCAATATAACCAACCAAACAAAGATAACAACCAGAACAAATTCGAGTCTAAATTCAGCACTTTCCCCTCATTTCCTATGCAACTAACAAGGCGAAGAAGAAAATTACACGGAATTCAGAGCAAATGAAGTTGAAAACAGAGATCCAACGGAACGAAAAGGAGAAATGAGGGCATTGCAGACTAACCTGGCGGTCGCCAATCGAGGTCCTGCAACTCCGCACTAAAAAGAGAAATGACAGGGACGAAAGCTATTTATAGGCGGATTGCAAAAGACTAGGGCTTGTCGTCGGTTCATCGAGAGGTAAAAGACAGATTTATCCTCAGCCACGCACGAAATACTACCATTTTGCCACGTGTAAGCGGGTAATCATGAAAGCCATGCGAACAACCTATGTAGTTTACTAATTTAGGGATAATTTAGTTGGTTTGAATAAAAAAACTTTGGTTCTTTTTAAATGGATTCTTAAATTTAAATTTTATGGATAAATAAAAAGTATTAGAAGAGTTTTTTTTTTTTTTTTTTTTGTTTAGATCTAATGTAATTTGATTTTAGATTATTTGAGATTAAAGAGGTTAGTTAAAAAATAAATAAATAAAAGACACTTATTTGGAGTTGAATAATATATAAGTAGACTAAAATTTGAAGCAAAATAAACTGAGTTTAAGTGCTTAGGTAAGGGCTAAAATGGGTTGGATATTTTCTTAGATAGTCAGAGTATCTTAATGACCCTTAAAATACTCCTTAATTTTTAATTTGAAACATTTAAATTTTTTAAAACATTATAATTATAGTATTAAGTAGTATTCTAAATTGCAATGTGATGTAATTTTATATAATTAGTTCATTGCATTTAAAAATCCACTTATAGTATTGTATATGCATTTACTTATTTAATGACATGTTACATTCATTTAAAGATATGTCATATTCATTTAATGACAAATTATAATTATAAGTTTATAATTATATATAATATTATAACTATAACATGAATGTTAAATTTAGTTGTTCACTACTCCCTCCAATCCCTTTTAGTTATCTCAGTCTCTCAACTTTATGTAAATTAACTTGACAATTGAAAATTTTTTAAATCTAAATAAAAATATTCAACAAGAATTCCATATAGAAAAAAAAAAAATTTAAATAAAAGTACTCAACAAAAACTATGTATAGAAAGAAAAATTTTCATCTATCATTTATTTAATATAAAATTATCAAATCAAACCTTAATCAAAAGTCAAAGTAGAATAATTAACTTTGACCAAAGGGAGTGTTTATGTTTAAGATGTCATTTAATGAGATTATATCTATTTTATCTTTATTTTTAAATGATAATTACAATACCCTTATATTATTAAGAAAGACTTGTTTAAAAAATGATTAATTAGAGATAAATGTAAAATTTTATTAATTAATTATTACAATCATATTTTATTTAAGAAAACTAGATTTATTAAAGTTAAATTAAGAAAGTAAGTCATAAATCATAAAGAGAAATTACAGTGGAAAACAGCGAATCAAAAACACTCATAACTTAACATGAAAGCTATGTTTGGTTTAATGGAGGGGAGGGATTGCTTTTTAATCAACTAGATTACAATATTTAAAAAGATTATAATTTGATTAATTAAAAAATTTATATCTTTCATTCTCTCCATTTCCCTTAAACCAAATATACTACTAGTATCATGCCCCAGTTACTAAAATATCAATTATTAGCAAAATAACAAACCGCAGCGAATGGGCAGGCATACAAGATAAAATTACTCAAGATAAAATAGTTTAGATATATTTTGAAGTTGTTTGAATTAATAGTTCAAATGTAGAAAAATATTGAAAGATAATTTTTTATATAAAATTTTCATATATCTTACATACCATATCATTTATGCTATGTTTGGCAACTTGAATTTGATGGTGTGTATTTGAATTTGAAGTGTTCAAATTCAATTTTACTGTTTGTTTTTACCTAAATAAAATGTAATTGAATTTGGATGAAATACATATATTTTAACAGAGTAATTCTCAAGAGTAAATACGGTGTATTTCAATTTCACCCTAAAACCCCCGAATTTCAATTTTGAATTGAATTTGGTTTGCACTCTCTTCTCACCGACGGCGATGAGCCTTCACCGTCTGCCCTGGCTCTGCTGTTGCTCTCGCTGCTCTCTCACCTTCGCGTTGTCGGCCACTCAACCTTTCCTTGATAGTAGGTTCTTGATTGCGCGCATCTACTTGACTTTTCATCATCTCTCTCGATAGATTAGCGCGTCAGGTAATTCCTTTTCCTTCCTCAAATTTTTATTGATTTGCATATGACTACCTCCTAGATCAGCTCTATTTAATTCTGTATTTGGGTCAGAATCCCTTGATTTCATTTTTTACCAAAGAATCTTGTTCGCTTGGACTACTTCTTGCCGCAATTTTTTTTTTTCTGTTCCACTTCTACCTTTTTGTATTCCCCTTGAAAGAAAACCAATTTAGGAAGGAAAACATGGGTGAGAGGTTCATTTCTTCACTTCCTTTCCTCCTTTTTGCATAGTTCTCTATCTGGGTATTTTTACACTTTTTTCTTTTTCAATTTTACATTGTTGAGTTCAGAGTTCTTGCATAGGAGAATTATGAGAAGTAATAAAGGTTATTTCTAAAGATTTTATTTGGGTTTTGTTTTTTTGGTTTCAGTTTTAAGGTTTGCTAGTTTGTTTGAGCTGATTCTGAAGCTTAATTTTGCTGCTTTGGTTTTCTAGGGTTTGGTTGAGCTTTAATTTGAATTGGGTTTGTGTGAAATGTTGGTTGTAAGTGTGAAATGTTGGTTGTAAGTATGAATTCTTGGTTTGTGAAGTTAGTACCATTACTGGGTTTCCTAAGAAAAATGACATCTGATTTCTTGGTTTGTGAAATATGGCATAGTTAACAACAGAAGAAAAAAAAAGGCCTAAGCATATT